TGAACTCAGAGAGCTGCTAATACAGAGAGATCCACTTTCCTTCAAGAAACTCAAAGCCTTCCATTTGAGTTCACTTCATGCATTAAACAGCAGCATCTACTATCAAAGCGTAATAAATCTCCTTTCCCTGTTTTTCACATGATAAATGCCAACTCAGGTCCCATCAAGGGACAGATTCTTTTAAGTGGCAACGTAAAATACTTCCTCTTCCATGCTGTCCTCCTGAACCCACCTCCACACCCACAGGCGGGGGTGGCATTTTCTTCCTCCGAATGCTCTCTCTTCTCCCCAATGTCTCATGTAGTAAGACCACATCGAGCTAGTGCACATGCTCTTCTCCCAGGCTGGGACATCCTGGAGAAGAGAAGTCATGTCTTACTCCAGTTTGACTCTGGCCCCATCACACTCACACCCCAGATACATACACGGTATCTGTTAGAAGGCCTGGCATGCAGCAGGGGCTTAAAAACTAGTTATGAATTGTCAGCTTGAATCACCTTGGAGCCCCAATTTGAAGTAATAGTAAGAAAAAAAGAATTAAATAAACTCGACCCCTAGTCGGTTCCTTCCATAAATACAACTTTTTGTATGTCAGCTTTATTTAAAATGGAGATATTGTAAATACTCACATAAAAAGGCAAATTGTGAAACTGAAATATGGGAAATATAAGCCAGGTAACTCCCATGTGGGCATCAGTAGGTGAGACTGATGTCAGAGGGGAAATACTGGAGTAGAGAAACACTCCGAAAGAACATGCAGGTGCGTTGTGCCTCCAGTTGAGTGTTTCTTTCAAGAACTTATGAAGCTATTGTTTTTTGATCAGGTTGCTGGTTTCATGGGTGTATCTAGTTTTGAAGATGTTATATACTTCATGGTATGTTCACTGTTCAGTACTGTGATACTGTACAATTTAAAAAGTAAAAAGCAGGCAGGCAGGTGGCATGGTGGTTAAGGCACTGGACTCCTACCTGGCCAATTGTGGTTTGAGTCCTGGACCTGGTGGCTTGAGAATCACACCAGGTACATGTGCATGCAATGCCCAAGATCCTAGGAGGAAAATGGAAAAAAGGATTGTGGTGTGTCCATCCTCCCCACCCCGGGGGATAATTTCTCACTTTCCTTGTTTCTATCTCTCTGTAGAGAGCACACACTCCCTATGGCAAAAAAATAAAAAATAAAAAAGTAAAAAGCTAGAGGCTAAACAGTGTGGCAGTGGCACACTGGATCCACATTAGAAGGCTCTGAGCTAGAGTTCCAGAGCTTTCCTGTACATGATAAATGCAAGCTCAGGTCCCATGCCAGGAACACACACACACACACTGTCATGATTCAGGCTGGCTGAGGCTGGGGGTGGATCACAGCATGAAGACTCTGCTGGGGGTGCCTTTCTCTCCCCCTCTCTCTCTGTCTCTCCTGCCCTCTCTTTCTCTTTCATTCCTGAAGGAAATAAATAAAAAGTGGAAATAAAAAGTTAAAGGATTAAAGACTATTTCCTACATGGCAACTTATCTTCAACGTCCAAGAGAAGTGAATGTGAGAACAGGATGTGAGTTACAAAAATTCACTCTCTAGAGAGCCCAGCTGTTGCCACCTATAAAGTAAGATGTGTCCCCACTATACAAAGGAAAGCAGTGAGAGCACATGAGACGTCAAAAGGGAGTGTGGAGGGCTTGAGTAATAAACCAGATGCAGACTGCTTTCCATCGGCATGGCAGGAGGAGAAGCTTTGACAGGGTTTGCTCTTCATCCCAGACCACTGGGCTCAAGAATCTAAATGTCGAGAAAGCCAAGAATGTGCAAACCATGCTCTTTCAGAATAATAAGGAGGCTACTCCTTTCTCCTCTGGGAGCCTTCAAATGTTTTGACGTTTCTGACACCCAAAAAATAGCACGAGAATCAGAGCCTGACTTTAGAAAACTGTACGGTGGGAGGGCGTGTGGTGTTCTGAGTCCTGAATTACTGACAGTCCTGGAGATGTGGTCCTAGAGGGGAAAGCAAAAATGCAGCTGCACTGGTGTGAATATGGTTTGCTCTATTGCCTTATTTAGGGTGGCCCTTAGGGACCGAGGGACCTAGGATTAGTTAACCACGAGCTACTTTTCCATCCACATTTTCTGCAACTGATAATCAGGCCATCATGGGCAACCAGAGCCACCTTGATGGTAAACAGAAGGCTCTGAGGGACCAGCAGTTAGCGTAATGGCTATGTCGCTGGACTCCCATGTTGTTGGCCGCGGTTAGCTTCCCGGACCCAGTGGTTTAAAACTCATGCCAGGCACATGTGTGTGCATGCCCAAAATCCCGAGAGGAGAATGGAGGAGAAGAGATTGCGGTGTGGCCATCTGCCCCTGGGGGGTGATTTCTCGCTTTCTGTCTCTCTATCTCTCTCTGTCTGTCTGGCGAGCACACACACTCTATAGCAAAAATAAATAAATAAATAAATAAATAAATAAACAAACAAACAAACAAACAAACAAACCAAAAATAAACCTCTCCAAAAAACCCAGAAGGCTCTGAGGAGTATCTCGAGGGTATGTAGGCAGGATGAGGAAAACAGTGTGAGCCCACCCACTTCCTCTGGACCCTGTTCAAGGGCAGTCACGGTCACCTGCATGGCCGTGAGCTCCCTGCATCGCTCTGCACCCTCGTGCTAAGCACCATCACTGCCTGCTTCCCTAACCCCACCAACATCCAGCCATAGAGTGCACAGGTTCCAGATGCATTTGCTTTCAGGACAGCAGGCGGGTTAGTATTTCCCTTTGAACAACCTGGTCTAGAGAAGTTATGGTGACTTAGTTTTATAGCCAATTTGTACTGGTTAAGATATGAGGGAGTACATATCTTCTGGACCTTCTTAACTTTTAATGGGTACCATCTGACATGCACTTATGGAGTGCCAGTTGTGTTCCAGACACTGCTCTAAGTCCTTGGAATCAAGCAGTAGGAATATGACAAATGAGATCAAAATGAGAATGCTCCCCAAAAGAGGACACACACCCAGTCTTAGATATGCCCTCATGGCTGGAACTTACTCTCCTGTGGATGCTGAGGCTTTGTTAACTTCACTTTTCTTAAGTTCACCACCAGAGAGTGCAGTGTTAGAGATGCAATGGTTTATTAAAACATTTGTTGAGTGAAAACGACAGGCCCTATCAATAGTTTCTAGAAGCCCTGCCAACGTTCTCCCACCCTGGCTTCTGGTGCTGCTTCCCAGGGTGAGAAACATCAGTCAGATACTCCGCTGCCCACTGGAGCCTGGCTTCTGGGGTGGACCAGTCACTCCCATTCTTTGGGCTCGGTTTCTTCATGTGTAAACATGGGAGATTTTAAGTAGATTGTCCCTAATTTCTCTTCCAATTTTTAGCATTCCCTGATGTCACATACATCCCAGGTAAGTGAGAGCTGCCTTTGCTATTCACAGATGCAGAGACAGCTAGACATCACCCCCTTCTCTTTGCTAGCATGGCCTCATTTTGTTCAGACTTCCACTCCTTCTCTATGTTTCCTGAAGCCTCACAAAAACTGACCCCACCCACTCACCAGCTAGTGGGTCCTATCTAGTCTATAACAAGCAAGACAGTCCCATTCCACCTGTCACTAACTGATTTTGAAGCAGATAAGTGGCCTAGTTTTGTCAATGAGACAAATGGGAGGATTGCCAGGGAGGCCTTGGGGAAAGGTTTCCTCTCTATATAAAGTCTTCACCAGAAGAGAAGGTCTCCAACCTGCCTCTGGACGTGGCCATGAGTGCATGTGATGTCCGGAACTGCTGCAGCCATCTAGTAGCCATGAAGAACCAGACTTGGGATGAAGCTAAGGACAGTAGAGTAGCGAAATGGAAGGACCCAGGGCCTCAACCACATCACTGAACCTCCGATCCATCCACACTGGAGTCTCCCTCCTCCTCACCTCTGTTCTACTTATAGAAGACACATTTCTTACTATCCAGGCTCATTTCAGTCAATGATTCTTGTTTTCTGTAGTCAAAAGCATCCCACTTAATGCAGTGGGCCAATAATTCGAAAAGAATCAAAATATTGTGAAACACTCTTAACACTAAAAGTATTACCTACACAGCTGAATCTTCATTTACTGTCCAGAAAATACTCTAAGACACACTCTGGTAAGAGGTTACTCTTCCAAATAAACCTCTGACAACCTTTATTTCTCATAAGCCAGTAGCATCCAGATATTCCCACTCTTTAGCTGCTTGGATTCTAGATAAAAGTGAGTGAACATTCCAATAAGAAACAACATTGACTTGCCCTTCTCCATGGAAAAAATTAACCCTGCCATGAACTCAATTAGAATGCCAGAAGAGTCAACATTGGCACCTGGAGGGCTGAATTCTACTCTTTGCTAATGGCTCTGAGCTTTCAAAGTTTTATTCATTTTGTCCTACCTGCGAGTGAGCTCCTGATTTCTCAATCTACTAATTAGCTAAGACAGAGTTCCGCAAAATATGAGGGAGAAGTAGGTGTGCCCCCTTTTTCTTTCTACCTGTCCTCCCTCCCTTGAGCCCTCCTTCTCTCTCTCTCTCTCTCTCCCTGCCTTGCTCACCAAGGTAACAAAAGAAACAATAATTAAATCGATGAGCATTAAGTGGTGCCACCATGTGCAATAAAAAACACCTCCGTATCACCTCGCCATTTCCTTTCTAAACCATTCAGGGCATTGTGTGCAAATATAGTAAAGGGCATTAGAGGGAAATAATGCTGGCACATACTTCTGGGAGCGCGTCATGTCCCTTTAAGACAAGGCCCACTGTTCAGTTCCATTCTAGGCCACAGCTCAGGTTTCAAGCCTGAGGTCCCCTTACTGCCTCATGCAGTATTAATACAGCCCTGGCACCCTCCCAAATGTGCATTGTGAACCATAATCTGGGCCAACTCCCACAGGCCAAACTAGTTTGGGGTTCCCTCTTTACTTCCCCTCTCTACAGCCAAGCCACCCCCTGCTCAGGGACCCCCACCTTTGGCCTAAGCCAGGAGAATGTACCTGGGCTCCCGACAAGCAGCCAATACCCCAGAGTGGAGTGTCCTCTGTGGGGGCCGCTTACACAATAGCAGAGGCTGTACACTGTCCTATTGCGGGTCACAAACACTGGGGGAGGGGATAGAGGTGCCCTTGGACACCAGAGCCACAGCCTGGTGCAGGTCACCTCTGCAGCAGGTCTGGAAGCACCATGAGGAGTCCCCAGGCTGGTGGGCCTGCGGGCTCTCCCACATTTGCTGACGGAATCTCTCTTAGTTGCCCGTGCTCGTTTGCTCTCTCTTTCATTCTCAATCTCTCTCTCAGTTGTAACCAGATGGCAGGGTCTCTCTCTGGTACAATTTCTAGGAGAGGCCATAAACCATTTCCATTTATTAAAAGGAGAGGTGAGGCTGGTGGGAGTGAGGAAGAGGCCCAGAGGAAAACTGCAAAGGAGAGGCAAGGCGAGAACGGAACAAACAGGTGGGGTAGAGCTGAGTGTAGCCTCAACAGCCACTCGCAGGAGTTCAGGGGCCCTGAGCTGCACACACAGCAAGAAGGAGGCTCCCAGGCTCAGCTCATGCCGTCATCTGTGGGGACTTCCACCTCTGAGGCACTATGAGGTGTGCTGGGGTAAGACTAGGCTCTGGGCATGGTTGATTTGGGTTCAAATCTCAGACCCAGTATCCATGAGCTGCCTGATCGTAGGTATGAGGCTTAACCACCTGTGCCTCATTCTCTTCATTTGAAAACTGGGATCAAGAATACAGTCTATCTCCTGGGGTTGTTGGTGGAGATGGAAAACAGGATCTGGCACAAGAACAATGTCCAGTCTGTGCACTAATGGAGTAAGTGGGAAGGGCAGGGCTCTAAGCAGAGGGTGGAGCCGATATCTTCAATTTTCTCCAAGGGTTGAACCCACTGACCAGAACAGACTGTCAAGTCCACTCCGAGGTACATACCCAATGGAATTAAAAGCAGGCATACAAACAACAACTAGTCCATAAATTTTCCTTGCAGCAGTATTCACAAAAGCCCAAAGGTGGGAACCCATGTGTCCACCAACAAATGAATGGATAAAGCAGATGTGCTCCGTGCAGGCAATTGAATATGACTCAGACTCACAAAGGAACGAAGCACTGACACCTGCTTCAACATGGAGGAACCTTAAAACACTCAGGAAATAAGCCAGACACAGCAGGTCACATGTAAGACTTTGCTCGGGTGAAAAATTCACAACAGACCAATCCATAGAAGCAACAAGCAGATAAGTAGTCTTCAGGGCTGTGGGGAGGAGAGAATAGGGAGTGACTGCTCCATTTAGGGTGGTAGAAAACGTTCTGGAACTATGCAGCTATGATGATCGCACACCGCTGATTGCATATTGAAGTGGTTACAATGGTTCATTTTATGGTATGTATATTTTACCACAATGAAAAGAAAATTTAAAAAAAAAAACTCAAGAAAGGACATAACTCTCAGGGAGTTTATTCTCTCCTGAGATCTCTACCTTGATGGGATTTTTCTGGGACAAAAGGACAAGGGATGGGTTTGCAGAAGCTGTTACTGTGCCTTGAGTCCCATCCCCTTGCTTCTGCCTGTCCTTCTAGGCCCCACACCCTGCGGCCTATGGTTTCTCGGCTGTGTCATACTGCTTCTCCCCTCTGGCCCTTTTCTATGCTATTCCCTCACCAGCAATGCACCGCCTCTCCCCTAGCACTCCCTCTCCTTTGCCTGCCTAACTACACTCAGCCTCAAGACTCCGCTCAGCCACTGCCTACTTGTCAAGCTTTTTCTTGAGCCATGCTCACAAGACCAAGTTAGCTGGCCTACTCCCAGGACCCCCGCCTCACCCCTGAGCTCCGCTAGCTACCAAAGGACTGTGTTCTATGCATGCTAGACAGAGCCCCCTGTGTCTTCTATGCAGGGCCCAGATCTACTTCACCCTTACACCCTTAGAACCTTGCACAGAATAATTATATAAATGATCAAATAAGTTAGAGTTACAGACTACTACCTAGAAATCAGGGGGAAGGAAATAAATATTAGTATAAAGCAAGGAGATTCAATCCCTAGATACCCTAACCTCCTAGCCCCACACCAGAACCTTCTTGGGGGCAAAGGGCCATATGACTCCAAACAGATGGTGGCCAGGCCACCTCACAGCACCAGCCTGAGCCTGTATCAGGGAAGGCATGGGCTGGAGAACCATGAGACCCTGAACCCAGGTTACACTGGACGGCCTGGCTCAGGGTCAGTCTCACTTCTCACATGGAAGGAGCCAGGCACTCAGTTCTTCTGCCTCTAAAATGGCATCCAAACATACAGAGGCTAGACCCACTTACAGAGGGGAACGTTCTGGCTGTGGAAGATCAGCAGCATGCCAAGGTCATATTGCAGGCATCAGAGTCAACACTTGTGATTTTCAATTTATTTCATCTTCTTCCTACAGTGTCTTCTTGGGCTCTTCAATTCTCTCACCAACATGAGAAGGCAAGAGATGCAGGCAGTGCTGAAGGTACTGGCCTCACGCATGTGACACAGTGGGTTCTGATCATTCAATTCAAACATGGAAGCTACTGACCATGATGGGAAGCTGGAGAGAGGAAAGAGATCTCTGGAGAAAGACGAGTAACGATTTGTCCCAGCTCTTCCACTATTTCTCTATCTTTGAGTAAGTCTAGCTCACTCTCAGGCTTTACTGTTTATTTTTATTTTATTTTATTTTATTTTATTTTTGAGAGGGTTTTTTTTCACTATAGGGCATGTGCGCTCGCCAGACAGACAGAGAGAGACATAGAGACAGAAAGCGAGAAATCACCCCCCAGGGGGAATGGTCACGCCGCAATCCCTTCTCCTCCATTCTCCTCCCGGGATCTTGGGCACGCACGCACACGCGCCCGGCGTGAGTTTTAAGCCACCGGGTCCAGGACGCGAACCGCGGTCGACTACGTGGGAGTCCAGCGACATAGCCATTACGCTAACTGCTGGTTCCCTACTGTTTATTTTTGCTCTATGGCATGTGTGCTCGCCAGACAGAGATAGAGAGATAATGAGAGGGAAAGTGAGAAATTGTCCTCCAGAAGGAAATGGCTATGCTGCAATCCTTTCCTCTCAGGATTTTGGGCATGCACACACATAAGCCACTGTGATTCTCAAGCTGCTGGGCCCAGGACTAAAATCATGGAGTTGGCCATGGGGTATCCAGCGCCTTAACTTCCAGACCACCTGCTGGTCCTTTCTGGGGCCTTTTTTAATCTTTTCCATTTAAAAATTAATTTTGTAACAAACCATCTAAATTTAACATCAATCGGAGCAGCCCTTCCCCAAGATCCCTTCCATCTCTAGGACTCTAATGCTATAATGACTTAACAACTGCCCCAGAAAGATCTAGAAGAGTGACTATCTTGTCCCTAATCATTTAGCGGAACTCACAGCTGAGTGTGCACAGCATCACTGTTGGGCTAATGCATATGCGAACTTCAGCGACCATCAACATTTCTCGCGGAGCGTCTTACCCCAACGCTGTGCACAACCTCTGCACCAGGATGGGTCTAGGAAGGAGTCACACTGATTCTGTTCCCACCATGAATTCTATCCAAGACTCTTAGAGTGCCCTAGCTCAGTGGTACCCAAACCCTGTCACTCTCTGCTGCCTTCCTGACTTCTGCCATGCCTGCATGCCCTAACTAATCATTGCACATTGTCCTTTAAATCAACTTGAAATTCTTTCTTTTTCAAACGAGCGTCGTCTTGAACAATAATATCTGTGAAATCACGAACTCTAATGTGTTATTTCTATTTTTTCACAAGTGTATTCAAATACACAACTATAATAAGCAATTCGTCTGGGTCCTTCTTCAAAGCATCTTGTATACCACCAGGGCTGAGGTGTTGCAAAACCCAGCAGTATCTCACTTAGTCTTTGCCAGTAAAGGTCAAAAAGGGTAAAGCAAGCCTTGGGGAGGCTAGTGTTTAAGGTGACCCAGTCAAAAGCACCACACTGGGCTGCAAACTCGGGTGTGCTGAATCCCAAATCCCCAGTCTTTGCCACTCCTGCAAGCATCCAACTTGTCTACAGGCTGCAGAAACGAATAAAAGTCAAGAGACTGTAAATAATGCCGACGACCTTTATCACCTATTCTGCTTAATCCTGTTTTAAGAACCTGACAGCAACATTTTCCATGATAATCTGAAATGAGAGTAATTCATCTACGCATAAGCAAAGCTGACAGCCAGCGTGCTGGAATGGACAGAAGGACAGTGTTGCATGAGTCCAGACTGGTTAGCTTTGTGAGCAGGTGTTCCTCACCCATGCCTGCAAGGTCAAGGTTTATTCCCCATCCAGGCAACTCTGAGTTTAGGCTGTCCCAGTCCAGAGGCTGCCAGCCCTCCTCAAAACACACAGCTTAGTCACAAGGGACTCTGGCCACACATATGCGTGACTCAGCACATATCCATCAGGCTCTGGAGAAAACAATGGCAGGAGCATGTGGGGTCAGCAGGGGCATCTGTGGGCACA